AACCTTGAGGCAGGAAAGCAGGGAGACACCCAATTATGGGACGCTGGCCACAGGCAAGGTCATGTATACTACCATTGATGGGCTGGAATCAGTGGGTCAAGAGGGTATGGCCGGTAGCACCATGGACAGCTCCCACATTGGTACAGTGGGGAGCTGGGGTCAGCTGGGTGACCAGGGTGGGCTTTCTGGAGGAAGTTGAAACTGAGGAAAAGTTAAATGGGGCAGGATATGGAGGAAAGCGCATTCTAGGAAGGTGAATGGCATATGCAAAAAAGGCTCAGAGGCAGAAGGAGTGTGGTGCTTTTGAGGACTGACAGGGACTTGGTGGTAGGAGCAAAGAGAATGAGGTGAAAAGAAACAGCACAGGGACAGGAGGGAGCTGAATTTAACTCAGACCATGTGGGACTCAAGGCCTTTGGTGGAAAGAGGGAGGCATTAAAGAACCGGGGACCAGGACATCAGATAAGCAAATGTAAAAGCTCATCCTGGCCAGGCGCGGTGGCTCACGCCTGTAATCCCAGCACTTTGGGAGGCTGAGGCGGGTGGATCACGAGGTCAGGAGTTCAAGACCAGCCTGGCCAACATGGTGAACCCTGTCTCTACTAAAAATACAAAAATTAGCTGGGTATGGTGGTGGGTGCCTCTAATCCCAGCTACTCGGGAGATAGGCAGGGAATTGCTTGAACCTGGAAGGCGGAGGTTGCAGTGAGCCAAGATTGCGCCACTGCACTCCAACCTGGTGACTCCATCTCACAAAAAAAAAAAAAAAAGAAAAAGAAAAAGAAAAAAAGTTCATCTTGGCTTCTGTGTAGAGAATGGGTGTGCATGTGGGGTGGGACGAGGATGCACAAATCAGATATCATGCTGCTGAAGTTGTCCAGGTGGGAAGGGAGATGAGGCTGGGCTGGCACCATCAATTCTCTGTGTCACCTGGATCAAGTAATGTCCCTTTCCAGACCTCAGTTTCCTCACAGCCAATTGGGTTCATGGTCAACATACCCGCCATCCCCCAGAGCCGTTATGAGGAATAAAGATAGTTGCCTTGGCAGTGATGGCTAGCACAGAGACTTATGCATGGCAGGCACTTGGAAACCCTGTATTTCTTCCTTCCTTCTCTGTTTCTGCCTTCTGACTTCAGAGGTCTGTCCTGCTGAGTCCAAGTGAAGAAATGGGCTTCATGCATGTATTATTGATTAATTTATTGGTGGTATTAGAAGGAGGATGGTTACCTGGCCTTGGCCTCGGGACAGTCCCCTCTCTACAGCATGAGATATAGGTGTCTGCCCAGGGACACTGTGCAAACTGTTGAGTCCTCTGCTCAGGAGAATGAGCTGAAGACATCTGTGCCGAACGTGGTATATTCCAGACTCTCTTGTGCCAGGCTGTTTGCAAAGGGGACTTTCCAGGCTCTCTCCCCCATCATGACACCCCTACTGAGATCTTGTCTCAAGATTTTTCTTGATTAGGCTTTTGAGTCAGAAATCCAAGGCAGGCTTTGCCAGAGAAGCCCTGAGGTTAAGCATCTTTTACTTGCAATGGAAAACACCCCAGGGGTTAGAAGTACTTAGTCACTCACACTTCGTGTGAATTGGGTTGAAAGACTGTGCATGTGCTAAATGCTAAGGGCAAGTGGCCAGGTTAGTGAGTCCTGATCAGCCTCATGAGCTGGGCCACCTTCCTGCTAGTCTCTCCTAGGCTGGAGGGCAGAGAGGATGGGAGACCCAGAGACCGCATTCCCTTCTCTCTGGCAATTCCTTTTCCAATTTGTATAATTGACAAGTTGAGTTATGGGTCCCTAAGGCCTTGGCATTTTGGGGTGCCAAATGGAATTTTTATGACACCCAGAATATAACAGGCACCAAGTAGACACCAAAACCTGGATGACTGGATGGATAAACAGATGAATGGACAGACAGATGAATGAATGGGTGTTGACTGAGTGAAGGAGCCAGTGGTTGGATAAGCAGCTGCACCTGAGCATCACTGAGCAGACTCATGAAGCAAATTAGGGCTGGTGGTTTGCATCCTAGAACTCAGGGCTGGCTGTTTGTGTTTGAAGACTCTTTCCCAAGAGGGACCCTCAGCTCCAGATTCTGATGAACATCTCATTTTGCCTCTGAATTGCCTGGGAGTATCCCAGTCAGATGGTCCTCTACTCCAGGCCACCAGGTTTTAAGTGGAGGTGACATATACGTTCAGGATCTGTGTCCTTAGGCACAGGGGATGTCACAGGAATGTCCTGTCCTGTGGGGTAGCGGAGATGATGTAAGAAACAAGTGATAAACCAGGATTATTCAGAAAAACTTTTTTAGAGACAATCTCACTCTGTCACCCAGCCTGGAGTAGTCATGCAAGCATTGCTCACTGCAGACTCAAATTCCTGGGCTCCAGCAATCCTCCCACCTTAACCTCCTGAGTACCTGGGATTATAGACATGCAGCATCATGCCCGGCTAATTTTTTTAAATGTAGGGAGGTGGCGGGGAGGTCTTACTTTGTTGTCCAGGCTGGTCTCAAACTCCTGGATTCAAGTGATCTTCCTGCCTTGGCCTCCAAAAGTGCTGGGATTGCAGGTGTAAGCCACCACGTTTGGCCCTTATTCACTCTCACGCCATCTGTGGAATTCCTCCAGAGCAGTGCCCAGGTTCTGAAGATGGTGTTTGCAGGTACCTGGAGAGAAGATGCAGAGGTTGTCTGCTGCCAGCACATCTTGGGGTTTTATTTCTTTGCTGTTCCCTTGTTTGTCGTCTCTTCTAACCATTCACCCACTCACCTATTTAGTTTGCACTTACCCATCATCTAGCCAATTATTTATTCAACTCTCCACCCACTCATTCTCCTAACTCCCCTCAACCATCTGTCTACTCACCCATCCACTGCTCATTCACCAGCCTATCCATCTATCAATCCACCCATCTATTCACCCACCTACCCACTCATCCATCCATCATCCATCCATCCATCCTTCCACCCATTCATGCATTCATTCACTTATTTATCCATCCACCCATACATCTATCCTTATACTCCTCCATCCATCCATCCATCCATCCATCCATCCAACCATCTACACATCCACCCATCTACTCATCCACCCATCTATTTATCCACCTATCCATCCATTCATCCATGCATTCATTCCTCAACCACACCCACCCAGCCATCTACTCATCCATCTACTCATCTATCTATCATCTATCTATCCATCCATCCATCTATCCATCAATCCATATATCCATCCACCCATCCACTCATTCATCTATCTATTCATCCATCCATCTATCCATCCACTTATTTATCCATCCATCCAGTTACTTATCCATCCACCCATCCACTCATCTATTCACTCCCCCATCCACCCATCCACCCATCCATCCACCCATCCACCCATCCATCCATCCATCTATCCATCCATCCATCCCAAGCACTCATGGCCCCACTAACCTAACTAGTCTACTATCTAGTTTGTGCCAGGACTTGTTCCATACATTGGGCACAGGAATGAGGGTGTGATAGGGCCAGTGCATTAACAGAGTATCCAGTAATGGAGATGTTTATGATACAGACAATTATAACCCAGACGGATCAGCCTGTAATCAGAGCAGCAGATAGGACTCTGGGAGCCCAGAGGAGGACCACGCTGCCTCAGTTTCCTTGGAGCCTTCATGGATGGTGTTCCTCTGCCTGGAACACTCTTCCTTCCCCTTGTCATCTGGATCACTTGTCACTTGAGTCGCAGCCTGGTGCTCCTCATGAGCACCAATTGTCCTTCCTCTTTTCTCTGGATTGCAATTTTCCACCAACTTTTGGAGCTGGGTCTATGTCTTATTCCTTCCTCGCCTGGCCCATCCTAGGTGTGCTACAAATGTTTGAGGAACAGATGAATGCAGATGACTAGACCAAGAAGAGGGAGAAAAATGACAGAGTACATGAGAATGGCAGGGATGTCCAGGCCACACCCTGAGTCAAGATTAGGGGCCATGCAGCTAAACAGTGATGAACATGAGACTCTGAAACCAGGTGACCCCAAATCCCAGGCCCAACACATTAAGAGAACTCTTCCCCTGAAGCTCAGTATCCTCATCTATACATTCTGGAGAACTGTTACTGCCCTCTGAGGTTCTGTACAGCATTAAAATGTGCATTTAGTGCATGTCATCTGTATGAGTTTTCTATTGCTGCTGTAACAAATTACTACCATCTTAGTAGTTAAAACCATACAAATTTATTGTTTTTAGTTCTGGAGGTCAGAAGTCCAAATGCATCTTACAGATTGAGATGTCAGCATAGCTGCATTCCTCTGTTTCTTCCCTAAGAGAAGATCTGTTCCTGGTTTTTTCTAGCACCTTGAGACCACTTGCATTCTTTGGTTCATGGTCTCTGCCACCACCTTTAAAGGCCATCATTCCAACTTCTGCTTCTGTTATCAAAACTCCTCTCTCTTGTCTTGATCCTCCTGCCTCCCCCTTATCAGGACTCTCATGATGAGATTTGCCTTCATCATCCAGGGTAATCTCCCTACATTGAGATCCTGCATATTTGCAAAGTCCCTCCTGCCATGAAAGATAATACATTCACAGGTTCCAGGGATTAGGGTGTAGACATCTTTGGGGGACCCCCTAATTTGTCAAACACATCCTCTTAGAAGCAGAAAGTAAGATGGGAATAGCAAGAGGAGGGTGCTGAAGGAGGAGGTAGAGATGGCTGCCAGGCAGTGATGCTAGTCTGACTCCTGCGCTAGGAGAGAGGGAAGGAAGGAGAGGAAGTGAAGGAAGAGTCTCAGGTGGCCACACAGTTTTAAGAAAATGTTTCATCCAAACCACTGGGGACTCCCTGAGCCAAAGTCACACAACAGAGGAGTCTGTGTCTTGCAAAATTGGGCCTGCCTCAGTATACCCATCAGACTCATTCCCTGGCTGGGGGAAGCTCAAGGGAAACCTGGCCTTGGTACAAGTATCTCTTCCATGGAAATGCTCATAGCTGACAATCTCACCTCTTCAGTTCACAGACATGGAAACTGAGGATCAGAGGGGAATGCACTTTGCTCAAGATCACCCAACGAATCCATGGCAGGGCTGGGATTCCCGAGCCTGGAGCTCCTAACCTGCTTTCCCTGCTTTGTCACCATCAGAAACATCTGTGAAATGGGCACAATCAGAAGTGGCTGTGAACAATCTGTGAACAAAGTCATCACCCCCTATCCAACAGAAGGAGAGACGTTTCTTTAATAATGAATTAAAAGCCAGAAGGGGTGAAAATGAATGTTCATCCAGCTCTTACTGTATGCCAGGATGGTTTTCATGTCAATTTCATATTAACTTGTTCTTCTGTATGTTCCCCAGATTTTACAAGGTGGGGATGATCTTTTCATTTCACCGATGGGGCAGCAGACGCAGAAAGGTGAATGAAGTCTGCACTGTGGCGAGTAGCAGAGCTGGAGCATGAGCCTGAACCTGTCCTGATCTGAGGACCTCCTCTCACCATCGCTCCTTTCTGCCCCATGCTAACCGGGCACACTTAGCGTTCCTTCAAACCCTGCTCAGTCTGCAGATGAGATGCATTATTAATACAGTTGACCCTTAAACAACACAGGGTTAAGGGTGCTGATCCCCCCACTGCGCACAGACACAAATCTGCATATAACTTTTTACTCCTCAAAACTTAACAGCCAATAGCCTAATGTTGACCAGAAGCATTACTGAGAACATAAACTGTGGGATAACACATATTTTGGAATATATATATATATACACATATATGTATATATATATGTGTGTGTGTATATATATATATATAATGTACCATATTCTTACAATAAAAAGCTAGAAAAAAAGTGTGTATATATATTATATGCCATATATTATGGTATAGAATATGGTATATAATATGTATACACATGTATATAAAATATATATTTATTGTAAGAATATGGTCTATAACATATATACACATATATAAAATATATATATATTTATATATACACATGTGAATATACATATACATATATGGTATATGATGTGTATGATATATATATATACATATATATCATATACCATATATATTCATATATGTATATATAAATATATATATTTGTATGTAATATATATGTATATATGTTATATACCATATTCTTACAATAAATACATATTATATATGTGTGTATATATATTATACACCATATATTATGGTATAGAATATATATACACACATATATATATTTCCCTAGATTTTTATTATAAGAATATGGTATATAATATATATATGCACATATACATATATATATTTCAAAATACATGTTATCCCATGGTTTATGTATGGTATTATGGTGTATATATATATATAACATATTCATGGTTATATATGGTTATAGTATATATATAGTATATATACTATATACCATATTCTTATAATAAAAAGCTAGGGAAAAAAGAATATTATTAAGAAAATCATAAGGAAGAGGAAATATATTCAGTATTGACTAAATGAAGTGGATCATCGTAAAGGTCATCAATCTGATCACCTTCACGTTGAGTAGGCTGAGGGGGAGGATGGAGAGGAGGGGCTGGCCTTGCTGTCTCAGGGCTGGCAGAGGCGGAAGCAAATCCACAGAGTTCAAACCCACCTCCTGTTTCCTGAGCAGTGACCACCTACCTAGCCCTTGTGGAGCTAGTGCACTCATCCTTACTGTGACCTCCATTTTACAGATGAGGAAATTGAGGCTCAGAGAGGAGAAGCATAGCCAGGATCTGAACGCTCTCTCCTGAGCCTGGTGTGTGTCCTGGATGGGCTTAGTGGAAGATGCCTCGTCTTGGCCTGGACAGTCCAGGCTCCCCACGGCCAGTAAAGAACAGCACCTGCCTTGTCCCTGACTCCTCTCTTACATCCGTGGCATCTGGGTGGGCCATGGGGGAGACAGCTGGAAAGCACTGCGGCTCCTAGACGGATGAGGGCCATTATTGTCTCTTCACAGTGCTAATAGCTGTGCAGGCACGTGGAGCAGGCCCGGAAGATGGATAGTGTCTCTGACCTCCCCACCACGCCCACCTCTGTCTCCTGCCTTCTTCCTCAGGGAATGTGGCCTTTGCCGAGAGGCCACCTTTGGCTCCTCTTCCACATCGGGAGAGGGCATGGAGGAAGGTGCTGAGGCACACCGACCTGGGCCAAAGCATTCTCCCTATTCTGCCATGGAGGAAGCTGAGTCCAGCCTGACTAGAGGTAAGAACTAGCTCAGAGACATCTCTCTATCCCAGCAGTCAGATCAGCCCAGGGCCTGGCACTTACAGAAAACAATGGTGATAACAGAAATTCTAGTAATGATTATGACCTTCACTGTTTATCCAGAGCCCTGAACACTAACAGTCCATGCCTTGTTTATCAGGTGATATGTATTTATTTATTTATATGTATTCATTTATTTAGAGACAGTCACACTCTGTCACCCAGGGTGGAGTGCAGTGGTGTGATTTCGGCTCCCTGCAACCTCAGTCTCCGGGACTCCAGCAATCCTCCCATCTCGGCCTCCTGAGTAGCTGGGACTGCAGGCACCTGCCGCTACAGGCACGGATAATTTTTGTATTTTTAGGAGAGATGTGGTTTCTCCATGTTGCTCAGGCTGGGGTCGACCTCCCAGGACCATGCCATCCTGCCTTGGCCTCCCAAAGTGCTGCGATGACAGGTGTGAGCTCCTGAGCCCAGCTAGCAGGTACTCTTACGATGGAGGTGCCATCCGCATCTTAGAGATGAAAAAGTCAGGTCTCAGTCCTGTATGTAATTTGCCTGAGGATACCAGATTTCGACAGGCAAGAAGCATGATCTGAACCCAGGACCAGCAGCCCTCAAGCCCTTGTGCTTTCATTTCCCAAACCACGCTGCCTCTCGTGACACAGTTTGATCTCCAGTAAAGTGTTTTTCCTTAACTTTGGGCTGTGTGCTAGACGTGGAGCTTGGAGCATGCGTGGTATGGTGCATGATGCAGGGAGTATCTCTAGGTTAAAATGGTAGTTTTGGCAATGACCATTTACCATTCAGCTATCAGCATGGTCCGAATCTATGGGTAGGGTCTTATGGTCCCCAAATTACTAAAGGGGGAACTGAGGCTCCCTGAGACGAGGTGACCCCTCACCCCCACACCGAGGCCACATCACTAGTGACAGGGTTGGCCCCACCAAAAAAACACATGCATGATTTTTCTGGTGTTCACTTACATTTTCTTCCTTTCTGTGAGAGCAGATCCTGGCCGGGAGCCTCCTGGGGAAGTCGAGATGGAGGCATTCTCAAGAGGCCCCCCTCCCCATGGCCTGTCTGTAGCTCCGGAAGCCAGCAGCCAGATGCTTAGTGTCTGAAGAGCAGGCTCCAGCTGTGGCCCTGGACACCCAGGGCCTCCTTGGCTGACCCCATGGGGCTGAGAGGGACGTGCTTAGTTTCGGGGTTCAGCCCAAGGTCAGGAGTGGGCTGGGGAAGCATCTCTGCAGGTGTGAGGGCTTGCAGGAACCTTCTGGATCCATCCCTCTGGGCTGAGGAGGTCCTACTCACCCTGCTTTTCAGTGCCTCTCACCCCAACACCTGTAAATGTTAGGATCACCTTAGGGCTGGCTTCTGTAGGTCAAGTAGGAGGTTCCAGATGATTGGCTGTGCAACCTGGGCAGGTCCCTCACCCTCTCTGGGCCTTATTCTCCTCAACTGTAGGAAGGAGTGAGACTAGCTAGATCATCTCCCATAGTTTCTGTGTCCTCAAGGAACCCAGATACCAGCCCAAGAAGACAACCCTGCCTGCTGATAGGACTTTTACAAGTGATTTTCCCTTTGGGCTCCACTGTGTCCTTATCTGTAAAATGCCCTTATAATGCCTACTCCATGGCTAACATGACGATCTTAGTGGGGGCTCTACCCAGGGTCCACCCTGGGGTGGGTCTCAGAGCCAGCTGGCTCTCTCTCCTTGGGGAGGAAGGGTGGGAGGCCTCTGTTGGCTCCGTTGTGATTTCTGGGTGATGATGACCCTGGCTGGCCCTCTTCATTGGGGCTGGTATATGGGATTTTAAATCAGTCGCTTCCCAAATGTCCATGGCCTGGGAACCACTCAGAGCTCCTGTTAAAATACAGATTCGGATTCAACAGCTCTGGGCATCCAATTTGCAGGGCCCAGTGCAAAATGACAATGCAGGCCCCTTGTTAAAAAATTGTTGGAAGGAATTTCGAGATGATCACAGCAGAAGGTGAAGTCAAGCGTGGGGCCCTTCTCGCTCAGGGCTGTGTGTGCATGTGACTTTGTAGGTGGAGTGTCTGTGAAGCTGGCCTAAGACTCTGCATTTTAATAAGTTCCAGGTGAAATGGATGCTGCTGGTCTGGACCATGTTTGAGGAGCTGGGGTTTAAATGGTAGCCAGGAAAGCATTGAATAGTCAGCTGGTGTAGGAGACTCGGGTTCTAGCCTTATGAACTTGGACCACGACCTTGGTCTCCCTGGGACTCGGTCTCCCCAAATGGAAGGTGAGAGGGTCAGCTGCGATGGCCTCTAAGCCACCTCCCCTCTGGCATCCTGTCTTCCCATGTAACTTCCAACCTGTGACCTCTAAACAGCCAGCCAGGATCCAATTGCCAAAGTTGCCTCTGCCATCCAGTGCGGCTGGGAATGATTTTTGAACAAAGCCCTCGTTCCTGGTTGAGCCTATTGATTTCCGGGTTCCCAAGCCCACCACCAGGCTGCAGTGTCCTTGCCAAGCCAGCACTGACAGGTAAACAAACAGGAAAACTCCAGCAAGCAAATAAATAAACAAATCATCACTGCAACCCACCACATCCCCCTTTGCCGTGGCGGCGTCTTTTCAAAAACAAGTGTCCTGGTGACGATGTCCAGACATCAGGGGCCCTGCCGGGTAAGAGGGTAGGGCTGGGGCGCTGGAGAGGACAATTGGAATAAAATGGAGGTCAGACCCCCAAGAAGGACGGGCCGACTTTGATCCCATAATGAAAGTCTTGTGGGGGCCGGATTTTGCCTTCGAAGGCTCCCGACGGACTCTTGTGAAGACAGCAAGCACCGCGCTGGGATAAAGTGGCTTTTAGAACTATTAGAAAGTGGGTGTGCTGGGAATGCGGGGGCAGAGTGGGGGCCAGGACGGGAACATTAAAATTCTGCTCCTGCCTGGGGTTTCTGGGCTCCGGCTCGCCATGCGAGCATCGATCTGTTCCAGCATTTGACTTTCAACCATGACAAAACTGTGGGCAAATTAATTGTTCTCCAGGATATTAAACATCAGCCTCCATTAATCCTTTCTGAGCGAGATGCTTGCTGCATACTAATCAGGAGGGTTCCAGGCTGCCGCGGGGTGTTTATCCTGCCACGGAGACCCCACTGGGTCCCTCCCCTCCTCTGTCTCCCTTGGGTGGGGGTGTCGAGGGTTGAGCACCCTTCCCCACACCCTGTGCTACCTCTATTTCCCTTTGTGGCTGGGGACAGAGGGGAAACAGGTGGATCCAACCTGAAACCTTCCCAACCCCCACCTGGGCGTCTTCTTCCCAGGAAGCTGGGGGACTGGTAGCAAGATTGTTTTATGCAAATTCCAATATCTGTATGCAGGCACGGCCGTGAGGATGAACACAAGACATAATTGCCAAATTATGCACGTTGAGTTGGTTTTCCTGAATCTCGAGCCCTTAAAAGAAAGACAAGAAACACGGCAACGCGAGTGTCTAAAACAGACAAACAACCTCTCGGCTCTGGTCGCCAAGGTGGGTGGGCCCCCGCGCTGGCTGAGAACAGACAGAACAGAATCTCTGTGGGTTTTGAGGGGCATGGTGTGGTGGGCCCTGCATAGGAGTCAGGGGG